TTTGTTTGATAATCTGGACTAAAACTAACAGCAAATTATTGGACTTCCATCGAGGAAAAATAATTCAATATTCCCAACTTTTTGTACCCTTGCGGCCGGATGTTGCCGAAAGGCAACATTTTTGTACTCTATTCTTCGAGTAAACTGAATGATTCATCTTATTGTTATAATAGATAATGGAACTGGAGAGGAAAATTAACCACTAGTTACTTCTCGCATCGAGTACTCGCATAAATGGAAAACAGATCATTTCGACTCGGGAGCTGTTTCGGGTGTTGACGGAAGAATTCATCCCTCTCCTCAATAATAGCTTTCTCCTTTCTTGAAAAGGCATAGGTTTGCCCTAAAATGCATGTAATTAATTATCAAATAGCTTAAGGAACTATATCTCATCACTTTAAGATAAATCCTAAGATGATATTGGCAAAATATTGCCATTTGGCAACATCCGGCCGTAAAGGGTTAATTTTTACATGCAAAGCCTACAGATTGAAGTTAATCATATAATCTAGGAATATAATTAATTGTTCATTTTTTTTATCTGGTCAAAGATTAAATGAACAACAAATATATGTTATGGCCCAAATTAGAATTCAGCTCAATTTAGAATTCGTCCAGACGAAATTGAAATTCTAATTTCGACTGTGATGATTATGGAAGAAACCAGAATTCTAATTTCGACCAGACAAAATTGGAATAATTTTTTAATGAATGAAAAATAGTGAAGAAAGATATGATTAAAGTACCAACAAGTATTTTATTTTACAAAACGTTTTAACAAATATTATATAAATTCTAAACTAACGAGAGAACCTCACCAACTGATAACGCTCGTTTGAGCTCATATTTTGCTCATAGGTAGGACTCGTAATGTAGATAAAAAATTTGAAAGGATTCGTCCTATTCGGTTGTTCTTGATGAGATATAGAATTTTTCATGTATTTTTCCTGGAGAGTCCCAGTTTTCCACCCAAATCATATTGTGGAATTTTGCCTAAATAAAAGTCTCAACTAGACTAGCTTTCATAGAGAATTTCACAATTTTTAGACAAATTCTCTCCGATTTATGAATTTCACAAGCAACAAGCGCTTTTTCATCGATATTGTGTAAAATATGCATCTTTTGGAAATTCATAACTCGGATAAACTTTGTCCAAAAATTCTGAAATTCTCTGTGAAAGCTCATCTAATTGAGAGCTTTATTTGGACAAAACTTCTGGGCAAAATTCCAAAATATGTTTTTGGTAAGGTTCTCTCATTAGTTTAGGATTTATATAATATTTGTTAAAAAGTTTTGTAAAATAAAATACTTGTTGGTACTTTAATCATATCTTTCTTTATCATTTTTCATTCATTAAAAAATTATTCCAATTTCGTCTGGTCGACATTAGAATTTTGATTTCGTCCATAATCATCACAGTCGAAATTAGAATTTCAATTTCGTCTAGTCCAAATTAGAATTCTAATTTCGTCTGGACGAATTCTAAATTGGGCTGAATTCTAATCTGGGCCATAACATATGTGTATAATTACTTTTCCATCTCGCACGAATAGGAACAGGTTTCAGGAAAACAGTAAGGTGCTGTTAATGCAAAAATGAAGCAGAAAATGAATTCAGTTAAGTTGTATATCAATTGATAGAGTTTTTGATGCTGGTTAAGCATATATAGAGTTTTAAATTTTCTAGATCCCACCTGAGCCGAGAAATTTACGAAGTACAAAAAAATTTAGGAAAAGCAAAAAATAGCTTTTTTTTAGAAAGGAGGAGGGCGGATAAGGCCAAATCTTTTAAACTACTTCGGAACTAATTTGTTTCTATTAGGTTTGAATATGGGATGACTCCTGATTATTTATTTCAGGTTTATTTTGAAAAAAATGACATCATCAATTTTGGTCCCTCAGATCCCCCTCAGATATCGTCGAAAAAAAAATTTCGCTTTTCATCAATCAAAGCTAGATATTCCTATACATTAAAGTGCGCTGATTATGATTGGCATAATAGAACCTCTAAAAACTCCCTTGTTCTCTATATAGTCTGGACCACAATGTAGGCCCTATTTTTCAATTTTGGGTCCCTTGTAAAAGAATCCCTCTTCAAATTTTAGCGGAAAATGTCTTTTCTAACTCAAAATTTTGTGCTCTATACGAATCTGAACTTTTGACGGCGAAAAAAAGTTATTCTGGAATAAAAAGCTGCGATTCTAGGGTAGAAAATGGCCATTTTTGGGTGTGGGTGTGGGTGTGGGTGTGGGTCTTGTTTTCGCCCACACCCACACCCCAAATTACCTCTGCATCTATTTACTCATTCACATGTAAGCATAGCATTCATATGATGTATTATTCTGATGAATGATCGGTTGCTGAAAAGCAAAAGTTAGGACTAACAGATTTGACTTGTCTTTTTTCAAGAGGTAGGATCAGTCTGTTTTCGATTGATTGAGGTATAAGTCTTTTCAACATCCGAAAAGTGATAAGACTGCTTCATCTATCAATCATTGTCTCGAACGAATCAAGAAATAGTAGTTTATTGAAGTAAAATGACAGGTAGTAAATATAAAATACTTGTAAACACCCTACATTAATGCCTGTAGTCGCAGACATAAAAATCATCGCATCCTTCAACAATAAAAAAACAAAACCTTGTGTTTGCGCCAATATAACCATTATCACCACGAAGACGAAGAGGAATAGAAGGATCAAAACGAGTAAGAAGACGAGCAGCAATATCACCATAATAATCAGCACTCTCATCATGAGGAGTATTAGCAGCAGCATAAGCATAACCATAAGCAGCAAGATCATCATTAAAACCACTGGGAGCATGACGACTATAATCATCATCAAAATCAACAACATGATCGTGACGATGACAACGAGGACAAGGCGGCATTCTGTTGGATGTTGCTAAACGAAATTTACACAAGTTGTTCCAGAAGTATTGATAGACAAAAGTTTTGATGATATGTTCCTATTGGGAAGCCCATAATATGTAGTGAGTTCTATAAATTATCTATTTCAAGAGAAACATTAGGGACGCAAGTATCTTGCTGAAGTTCCGCTTTATTCTTTTCATTACTAAAATACAGATGTTAGTTCGTTCAAGACTGACGGAAACGTTTTTGGAGAAAAAAGCTGTTAGCGCAATCCCTTGCAGGATTAAAAATGTGAAACACGATGGATCTGTTGTTATTAATTAAATGGAAATCATTTTGTGCCATTTCTTTGCAATACATTTATAGCTAACCGTTTATCTGATGCTTTAGAACTACAGTTTCTCTGTCACAGTCTGTGATGGATCCAAAGCCTGTCTGTCACGGTCTGTGATGGATCCAAAGCCTGTCTGTCACGGTCTGTGATGGGTCCAAACCCTGTCTGTCACGGTCTGTGATGGGTCTAAAGTATGTCTGTCACGGTCTGTGATGGGTCACGTGAGTGTCTGTCACGGTCTGTGGGGAGGGGGGGTCCAAATTTCTACCCCTAAACACTTCAACACTCCTTTCAAATAGTGTTTCACAAAATGTGATGATGAACGATTTCTAAGTGCTCTACAAAAGATCTGACTTCCGCGCTCTTTCATAAGTTTTCTGGATCATCAGAGTTGACTCAAGGTAACCAATCTCTTCAAGATTTTCTCCAAAGTCCAAGTAAGCTACCAATCTAGGGATGTGCAGTTTCAGTATACTGATCACCGACAAAGTCACACTGATGTTCACCAACGCAGTGACTGCACCAACCCTGATGTTCACCGGCGCAGTGACTGCACCGACACTGATGTTCACCGGCGCAGTGACTGCATTGAAACTGCACATCCCTATACCAATCGTGGAACCGTTTGGTGGATTTCTAAAAGTTTCACCAGTTTGAAGTCGCCTTGCTGTGGCAAAGCAAATGCGAAAATTATTTTATGATATCTAATAGAAACTATAGTACGACATGCTTTGTGTCTTTATATAGTCCATCTCATTAGATAGCCAAAAACTGGGGCTTCTGGGGTATCTCACATGGTGTGGGAAACGGTAAGTTTTTTTTTAACCGAAGGAAAGCCGGAGCGAATAGCGGTTTTACTCAATATGTTTACAACAGGTAAGAGATCCTGGCTACAAGTAAAGTGACCGTACTATATGAAACCATCATATCCAGTACTATAGTTACTCATGAGCTCGTCGCAGTGCAGGAAATCGATAGAAATCGCTATATATAATACGGCGGTCTTCTTCGAAAATGTTTGTCTTGGGTATTCTATGAACTATGAAAAAAAGAATGTGTCGGAAAAAGGCGTTGTACATGATACAGTTTGAAATCTGAATGAATTGAGTGATAATGTTCGAAAAGAAAGATTAACTGTGTTCTTCAAAATAATCTGAGCTAGAAGTGTCAGTTTCTAGTGTCGCTCCTAAGGACGGGAATCCATTATGGGTTTGTGTACTCAGGAACCCAGAAACAAACTGTGACTTGTACAAAATGTAAGAAATGTGCCACAAATTATCATAGGGTGTGTTTAAACCACAAAAAAAAACAATTCACTAATGTATTTGTGTTGCTTCGAAACGGAAGTTTAGGGAACAAGAGACCTGAAATCCCTAATCCGAACTCAAGCATAAATATAATAGTTTCAATGAGATCTCAATGTCCTAAATCAATGTTGTTTGCCTAGGTGCTTTTTGTGTTTTTCTCGACTAGGTATTAGTAGATGTTTAAGTTGCTACAAGAAAAAGTTTTATCCGAAGATGTAGTTTTGGTCGGTGATGTTGCTAAAGCCAAAAGATATTCTCATGTCGATTTGCTAATTCCTCAATGAAAAACTAGTAGCTATTCTATGAGCTACTTTTTCGAAACTGATAATCTGGTTCACGATTTATCCAACCAAGAACTTCTCTTGGAACTTTCGCGTTTTATCTATGAAAATAAAATTATACTCACAAGATGATGCTATTTCTTCAGCCGATGTAGATGTCTCTGGTCTAGTTCCTTCAAACACGATAAAAATTCAATCAATTATTATACACTATCTCACTCAGAATTCAGAAGGAAATCAAATAGAACTCATCTCGATTTCTAAGACAAACTTTTTCTAAACTTACCAGATACCTATTTGTTGCCTAATTCTGACGTTAAATCCATCTCTTCCTTTATTTCTATGAGACATGACTGAGACGAAAGCTTTTTTTCTTCTGATTGTGAGAGTCCTTCGTTTATTCTCACAAGAACAAAAACCATCCTATTGTGAGAGAAACAAAAAACAACGAACAACCAAAACAATAACAAAAGCAAGACGCTCCCTCCCTCCTCTAAGAAAGACGAATAAGGGTTATGTGATACGATATGGTAATGGTGTAAGGAGTTCATGACGGAAATGGATTACAAAGTACTTCAAAATTTCTATACTTTATTGACAGTGATTTATCTATACGTTCTACAACAATCTATAAAGATATAGACGAGTAAATAAAAAGAGTCTATACGAATTTATAAGATTTAAGAAGTATCTGTCAGATTCTATCAATAGGTATTAAAAGCTATAAACATCTTTAAGCGTTTAAAAGCAACTGTAAGGTATAGCAAGATCTATTAACATAAAGTAGAGTCCATCAAGGTATAAGGTCTATTAAAGTCTATTACGGCCTATTGAGGTCAAGTAGGGTCTATTAAAGAACTACCAAGATCTATCAGGATCTTTTCTCCCTCACCTTCATTCAGCGAAACGCCCTGTGTGTGTGTATTTCTCACTCACCCTCACCATCTAGATGCATTCATCGGTATTCATCACAAAACGAAAGTAACTCACGCCCCTTACCTGATAAAGCATTAAAAGGTGTCATACTCGATGAGGTAGAGCCTGGACTAACTCGTTCTCCACTCGTACATTCTGATTTGTGACGAGGCCAGTCGGCCGAACGGCATGCTTTGGAACAATAGCAAGTCCGACAATAGGGACAACGTTTGCTTGTGCTTGTCAAGACTTGACACTTTACGCAGGTAGGCATGGCTATGTGTGAATAATATGCTTGCTGTTCTTATCTTTCAACAACAATTGTGTGCAGAGTATTTCCTTGATCAATTCCCTAAATGAAGAAGTGAGAGAATAGCAATTTTTCCTTCTACCTTGTTCTGATTGTTAGGAGATAATTATCAATTTGCTTGGCTCAATATAGAAATAACTTTCTGTGCAGCCTTATGTGGGATCAAAATGTGTAACCCATATATTCTGATCGTAATAAAACTAATTTAACGATAAGAAACTGTTGCAACTAGTACAGTGCGCAATCTTTATAAGCTGATGCTGATAGTGTAGGAGGGCAATTCATATCAATCTGTCTAAAATATGGTATCAAGTTGCACGAAGGAAAGACGACTAGGGTTTTTGATAATCGATGTAAAACATTGATTCGATCATTACGGTTGGGATATCAATTAATTTAAGGAAGTAGATAACATTTCTTAATCCTTTATCATAGAAGTTATTAGGTAAATGAGTCATTAGCGAAACGTAGTCATTGATCTTAACCATGGTTGCTAAGCCTTTCGGTCACTAGAAAAAATCAGATGTTTATCTTTGACTCCGACTTCTAGGCGAGCCGGAAAATTTCGATTTCAACTTACACTCACTAGTTCTTTGAAAAATATATTTGGGTTCCACAAAATACTAATCAATAAGGCACTCTCAATACTATGAAAAGATAGTCCATAGTCGACAGTATCTATGGTAAAAAATCTTTTGTAACGCCTATCGTTCTTTTAAAAATGAAAAGTTAGTGAAAAGTATTACTCTGAACAATAATCCAAATCTGGCTAAGTATCTATACTTGTAATGTTTGGGTCTCCTTAATGATTCATCCGTTTGAACTGAAATTATCAGTTTCCTCCTGCCTTCGTTAGGTCTACGTACTGTGAAAATATTAGCCAAATAGGTGGAATGATTGAGCAATGCTGATTATGACTGAGGTGCCATGGTTTCTGGGTTATAACGCACACACTTATATACGTATAGACCCAATACGAAGTTTAGACGATTGAGTACTCGCATCAGGCTTGCCGATTAGGGGGGGGATTTCCCCCCGCTAAATTCGGATCCTTTCTGCCAATTTCTTTCCGCTGTATTTCTACGTTTTTCTTCTGAAAAATATTTTTTCTGGCTTTCGTACAACCTATATATAAACAAAATTTAAGAAGATGAATTTCTCAAAATTTCCTCTCCGCAATGCATGCATACTTATTGATTAGTGGTAGCAATGCGAATAGTTGAGTCATATTATCCCTCTTTCTGGCAAAAATAGATAGATAGCATCAAGAATATATTTTCTGCAAAATTCCCGCAGAAAATCAACTTGAGAGCAGGAGCGTAAATAGGGTGGGGCGCATGGGGCGCGACGCCCTCCTGCTTTTGAAAATTTGGTTTTTTTTGGTGAAAAAAATCGAAAAAACTGCGTTTTTAGGGGTATTTTAGTGCAGAATCCATACGAACGAAGACGTTACGCCCCCTGCTTCGAGATTTTGAGATATTAAGGGCCTACGCCCCCCTCCCTTAGAGACCGAGTTACGCCCCTGCTTGAGAGTACTTTTCTTTGGCAGAAAGCTCATATGTACTCTTTGCCTAAAATTTTTGGTGAATTTCTGTCTGCTTTCCTGCTCATGGTCGGGTTGTGATTCCATCTGTGTCCAATATACGACGTGTAACAGTGAATTGAACTTATTTTATTCAAAATGATTTATATTTCAACGAACCCATTCGTCATCGGCACAGTGAACAATAAATATGTTATATATAAAGTGCTGGCAATGCGAATTTCAAGCAAATTTTTTTTTCACCTTTCTTTTACATCATTTGATAGTGTGAGCTGCTGATCACGGAAAATTACTTTTTAGCGCCAGAAAATGCTTCTTCCGGGTCGA